AAACGCTTCCATGTCGACGTACTTCACCTTCCGCTCTTTGTCTTTCTTCGATCTTCTAGGACACGAAGAAATGAACTTCACGTCATCGGCGAACGTCACATTACGCTTTATCTCTTTTCGGGTCGACGTAGTCGTTCCCGAGGATTCGTCATCTGTTGAACAATCCGAATCAGCGTCGCTGTCAACGGATGGACAATCTGACTCCTCCTCATCTTGTCTTGAAGATCGCTTCCATATAGCCGGAGCTGATGGATTCCACCTTCGACACAATCTGATGGCGGGTGCCGCAGGGAGTGCCTTGGCCTTGGCATTCGGCTTCGCTGGAGCTGCCTTCGCTTCGGATTTAGCTTTAGCTTTTGCCTTTGGTTCCGGAGCTGGGGTAGCTGCTGCCTCATGCTTGAAAGGACAATTCTCTCTTGAGCACGAGCCTGTGTTCTTGAACGAGTAGCATATCCTGTTTCCTCCTCCTCCAGATGGACTTGGAGTTCTCGTCCTCGGCGTGAAGGGTCGCTCTGGAGTCTTCTTCGAGTGACTGAATGGACACTTATCACCATTTCGACACCCTGCATCTGTGAAATGGAACTTGCAGCGGATTTGCTTCTTGCTTTTGTCACCTCTGTTGTCCGCTGACTCACTCCTCGTCTTCTTCTTGGGCTTTGGCTTGGTCTTCGCATGACTCTTCGCTTTGCTTTGAGGTAGTACAGGTGTTGCTTTATCCGGCTTGGTCGGCGAAGCCTTGACCTTTGCGGATGGAGCTGCGTTAGGCGTTGGTTTCTCGGGTACCTTGGCCGGTGCAGCAAGCAAATCCTTGCCCTCAAGCATCTGGCGCAAGCCAATTTGGGTCTGAGTGAGATTTGACTGTTCTCGTCTCCGCATGATAGTACGGTCAATGATCTTCATCAGGTTGTCGTACGATCGGTCTTCATGATTGTAGGGCAAGTGTTCGTAATGCATGCCCAACTCCATCTTCATTGCGGGCGAGTCCTTGATCTTGCTGTACAAGCAATCACGGAGAGCTGTTTTGGATGGAATGTCCTCTGGTCTCATCCGTCCCAGAACTTCCAACCACGTCTGCTTGAACGTATGAAGCTTGTTGTCGCCTTGGTACTGGAGCTTCACCAAATACTCAAGAGTGATGATCATGTCGAGACGATCGTGCGTTCGAAAACTTTCATACATCATCGCAATGATTTGTCGTCCTTTGATGATCTTCCCGTCGGGCCTGCTGATGTAATCGTTAGCCTTCCGGTTCACCTCAAGGTACAGGTCAGCTGATTTGTCACCACCGGCACGTAGCATTGCGACCATGGCGATCCCCAATTTGACGTCTATGCTCTTGAACTTCTTGTGTCCTGAATCATTCAATGCTTCGACATCAGGGAATGGGTTGAACGCTGGTGCCAGCCATAACATCCAGTCCTCATGATGTGGGTCGGCTGATGCTCCTAAGACATTGGCCGTGCACACGGATCGCCAGTTGTTGAGATGAGTGAGAGTAGGCCATGGAGGAACGGTCACTTTGTCGGCTTCCCTCCTGGAAATTCTCACCTCTGTGACTTCAGGATCCGCGTCTCCATCAGGATCACGCGCATGCGAGCCAGGATCCGATTCAGGTTTGCCCCCTCCGCCTTTCTTCTTATCATCATCATCATCATCATCAGGCGGATCTGGAGGATCATACCCCGTGCCGGTTCCTTCATCATGCTCGTCCTCTCCGTTCTCGTCGCCAGCTTCATCACCGTCATCGTCTCCATGGTTTTCCTGAATCGTTTCAGCGAATAATCTCCACTCATCACGATCAGCTCTGAGACGTTGTTCGGCTTTCTGGGCCTTGAGTACTTCACTTCGCAGATCAGCAATCTTCCCTTCGTACTGTTCCGCGATCTCTTTCTCGATCTGACGCCTCCTTGCCTCATGGATAGAATCGTCATAGGCGACAGGGGGACCAATGAGGTCGTTGCCCTTCGTAGATGCGGTGATACCGTCGACACCAACAGGTCTTGAGGAGCTGGCAGATGCTGTGGACTTCGATCCCAACATCCCGCGATCCTCCAAGAGTTCGCGTAGCTGTCGATCACGCACGGCTGCCGCATCACTTTTCCCATGAAATCCGCTTGGTATGCCGAACAAAGTGGCTGCACTAGGCGTGGAACGCGCAAGTGCTGGGCTGCTAATACCTGGCACGTAGTGCTCGGGCATTGCATCCGCCACGATTGGCATTGAACTGCGGCCAGTGAAGAAGTTTCCACCGGTGAATGGAATTCCATCCATCACAAGGTTCTTGTCCTTGTCCGATTCCGAGAATGCGAACTTCTCTTTGGCGACTGGACTAACTTGACTTGGGGACCGTATTTCAGGGGATCGTACCTCACCTCCTACGGAAAATGCAGGCACTACTTCCTTTCCTACGTGCTCCCAGCCAGACTCAGTAGTCCTCGAAGACATGGGCATGCTTGAAGGCCGTGTCGCTCCTCCGTAATTGGAGTTTCGCGCTGCCTCC